TATTATATATTATTATATTATTATAAAAAGAACATAAAAAAAGTTTAGAATAAATTAATTCAGAATAATTAACTTTATCTTTATATTCGTTTTCATAATAACGACAACTGTATTGTACCATATCAGAACCATGTAGAGAATTTAGAAGAAATTTAACTTACGATTTTTTGTTATAATCTCAGGACTATTTTGTGGATTCGAAAAAATTTCTGTCTGTTTACCTTTTTATACTCCATTTATTCCTCCTTTCATTACTGTTTTTAATTTAAGATTTAAAATTAAGATATTATATTATTTCCGTCCTCAGTAAATTGTATTTTTGTTTGAAATGCACTGAGTACATTACATATTTAATTATTTTGAATTACTAGTTTGTTTACTCATTTATAGATATATTGTAGTACATTGTACATTGTACCGTTTTCTTTTTTTTCAATATATCAATTCGAACCAACAGCAGTTATTTACGGTCTAGTGTGTTACAGTATATATAAGTCACGCTGGGAAATGTTTAATTTACCCAAGTATAAGACGATATGATGTAACATATATAAAATTGTATCCAACACTTTCATAGAATTTCGTTTTAATAATAAATAAAAGTAACTTAAAATTTCAAGTTGTCAACCAAAAAATCCAAGGTCTTAGAAAGAGAACAAATAAGGTAGGTTCTACTGATTAGTTTAACTGAGTTATATTTATTAAATTTGTCGTTTTTAGGTGGCGTAGATATTAGGAGTTTTTGGCGCTTGCCGTTGCGAGAAATTGACCCATCTAAGCATAGACAACATAGAAGACAAAGGGCAGTATATCCACATCGTGATTTCAAATACTAAAACGAACAAACCAAGAAGCTTCGCTGTGTTAAATGAAGGATTTTGTGTTACTCCAATTGAATTAATTAGAAAATATTCTAAGCTAAGGCCTCAAAATGTGCAGCATAAAAGGTTCATTTGCAATTTTCAAAAGGGAAAATGCAATGTGTTAGTATTAATAAGGGCATGGCTTACGTCGCGCATCTGCAACTCTCTTGGCCAATGCTGGAGGGGACATTACAACACTCAAACGCCACAGTGGATGGAAGTCATCTACCGTGGCAGAAGGTTATATAGAAGAGTCAATTTCCAGCAAAATTGATATTGCTAAAAAGATACAAGGGGTGCAACCTCTTGAAGTGAGTACTAGCAAAGGGGCAACCTCTTCTATAAATTTATCAAATCACAAAATGATTCCAATTATCCTTTCGCATCAAATTACGGCTTTACCATAGATAATAATAATAAGTAGGTAGATTGTAAGTTTGTAGCATTTTAAGTTATTTGTTGACTTATTACCATTTCAAATTGGTTTTCTACTAAAAACTAGAAAAATAAATGAAACATTTGTCTTTATATGATTTCTATAAGTCACTAGTGGGTTATAAGTCATAATTAGCAGTGACTTATGACTTACAACTCACTAGTGACTTATAGGCCACATTATTCCTTTAAAACCAAAGAAATTATATTATCATTATATATGTGTTGGATAAAAATATTTTTATACAAATACAAATAAATACAACTAATTCATCATAATGCAAAATATCGTTTTATGATGTTTTCTAGCCATGATAAATAAGAAGAAACATCATTAAATTCATTCAGTTGAAGTAATCTTGAAGATGCCTCTTGCAATAATTTTCAAACGTTTTATAATAATAATAATAATGATGCATACATATTTTTATGGAAATCAATTTATATCAGTTTTAAGTCTATAAAAATCTTGTACTTACTTCTTTAGCAGAAAATCAACAGCATCTAACGCTTCGTGCTCAACCGCAACATGAAGAGGAGTATTCCCTGCGTTATCTAGATTATTTAAATCTGCAAAGAAATATTAATTATTGTAACTGTCACTATCAACTTAAAATAAAAATACTGACTAGAAAATGTGTAGCGCCAGTGCTTATAGTTTTCATAACATTGGCTCATAATTTTTGTTTCATATTGATAGAGTAAAAGTAAATAGCAACGGATCGTGAGACTATGTAACTATAACATCTTGTCTTTGTACTTGTATCTTTTTAAATGAGAAGAGAGTTTATTAAAGGCAAAATTCGTAATTAAATCAAGCTAAGTGCACATAGTTATCGCAAAATGATAACTTATTTGTGTCTAAATGTCGTTTACTTGAAGTAGAATAAGATATTTATCGATATAGTCATATGACAACTTAACAACTGCCATAAAAACTTTTGCAACAAAAATGAAAGGTTAGCAAAATACTTTTTAATCGCTTATAGTTTCCATTAACAAAATATTTTTGATTATGATAGCAACATAACTTTTCTTGGGTCTATTTAATGCAGATATTTTATTAGCATGGCGAAAAGACATTTCTCTCAGTATACCATTAAACACTTCCCATTGATATCTTCAAAATGAAAGGTAAAATTAAAAATTAAATTTAAAAACCGATAATAACCTATATCGTACTAGGTATGGCCTACAGAATATTATTATATATTAATTTATAAAAAAAAATAGATATACCTCCTCCATTCTCCAGTATGAATTTTAATATGTTTATTCTGTTTCTAGCTGCTGCTTGGTGAGCTGGTGTCCTGCCTCGACTGTCTTTAATGGAAAGTCTGGATGGTTCAGCGTAGTACAAGCGCTCGAAAATCTCTAGGTTGCCACTTTCAGCCGCCTACAAAATTTGTATATTAAAAATGAGGAACATATTTGCGAAACGAAGTTTGAAATACGTTAATACGAATTTATGCTGTTTTGGGTTTTCAAAACGTACTAGGTGATACACTATCATACTATCTAAGGAAGGGATTTAATGTGAACATGTGACATATTGGAAAATATAATTAAATATGCCATTAATATAGTTTATTATAATTTATATTTGAAGAAGTTGTGAATTTATCTGTACAATACATGTTGTTTTGGACAAATCTAATCAGTTATACTGAATTTGAATCTACTAAAAATTTCATATTAAACTACAGTTTATTTTATTTATGAACAATTGTCATATGGTCATCCATATTCGTTACCTTTATTCCTTTTTCCATTTCACTGATCAATTGTCATTTTTTGATAATTATGGATCAATTACGTTGTTATTCTACCAAGCTTTTATCGTAAATATCATACGAGACTGCAACTTTGTCAAAAAAGTTTCTATCGACCTAATTTTAAGTAAAATGATATAATATACAAAAGTAGGTTTCCGATTGGAAAAATAAAATTGGGAAAAAAGTTAACAAGACCATTATCTCCAATGATATTTAATAAATATTCCACATTTAATTATATATTTGAAACTTCAGTTCAGTCATCTAACAGTAGGTGATTTTTTATCAGAAATGGTAGCCCAAAGGAATTTATAATAGACGAGAAAATTTAATAATAGTCATCGAAAATATGTTTGAGGAATATATTTTTAAGTAATAGATCATTTATCGAGGGTTATCTATTTGGTAATTCTCCGGAGCGTCTAATATCTGATTTATCGAACTCTCGTGCCAATTCATGTATTTGATACATTATTTTTTGACTGATTAAAATTTCAAATATTTCATTGGTCAATAGAATTATCAAAAAAATATAGTCGTAAAAGCACAAGTATTAATCCAGGCGCCTTCGCCATTTTATTAAAATTCACCTTATAATAATGCATCTACTTATGACACCAACATTTTAAACTAATTTTATAAACAAATATTACTATTTACTAGTATCAGTTCCACTATAGTTATAATTTTTCTTAATTTTTCGATTCTATCAAATTCTCAAATTTACTTACTTATCTACGTACTATTTATTAGTCCAATTAATTAAGCCTTTAAATCGAAATTTTGCCAACTTGGCTGAATTTTTGATATGAGTTAGTTTAAGGTATATTATAACAATAAGTGAGAGTAATTTTTTGTTCAACCCCCGGCAAGGGTGGAAAAAGATAAAACAAAGGGCTTTTTCAAGATAACTCAAAAAGGGTAAGAGCTAGGAAAAAAAGTCGTAAAGCAGACAATACTACATAAAAATGGCCTCTTAACTTTTTCTTGTACTATTACAATTAACAGAGTTAGGGAGGCTAGAAGATTTCAGAAATTTAAAAAAAAATCATAAACAGAAAAATGATTGAATTTTGTAATTTTTTTTTTCAATCTGCTCTAAAATATGTAACTTTTCTTTTCAGAGAAATAGATATATTTTTTAATTTTTAATAAGAAAGTTATAACAAAAAATCAAATTTTTAATCGTTAATTTTAATGATTTAACAAAATTAAATTTCTGAAATCTTCCCTTAACTTCTAGCGTCCCTAACTCTGTTAATTTTAATAGTATAAGAAAAAGCTAAGAGACCATTTATGTAGAATTGTCTGCTTTATAACTTTCATGAAAAACTTTTTTTTCTAGCTCTTACCCTTTTTGAGTTATCTTGAAAAAGCCCTTTGTTTTATCTTTTCCCACCCTTGGCCGGGCGTTGAACAAAAAATTACTCTCACTTATTGTTATAATATACCTTAAACTAACTCATATCAAAAATTCCGCCAAGTTGACAAAATTTCGATTTAAAGGCTTAGTTAATTGGACTATTATCGTAAAATCAAGAAAAATAGGGACAAAATTCACTGTAAAATTGAATGTATGAACAAATCTAGTTTTAGACATTTTTAAATATCATTAGGTGTATCCTCAAATTGTTAACGAAACTATGATGTTTTAAAAATAATACTCGCAATGTCAAATATTATTTGAATTGGGTTTACTCTTTTCATAATAATAAATAATTTAAAATTTTAAAATTTAATCTTATGAAGTTACATTTTATCGCACCTCTATATAACACTAACTAAACAAGCTATTTCCCTTTGACTAAATATAGGTCGTATCTAAACTTACTTGCATGTGCCAGCTCTTAAGTAGAATTATAATTTATGTATTTATAGTGTTTTCTTGTTTTCTCCTTCCACCTACGATTTAATGAGGTTTACTCCCACTCTGTGAATGATATTAAATAATATCCACAAATATAATCAAATTAGCTAGACCGTGATTGTAAGTAGACAGATAATTATATAAATTCTAACAATAAGTAACTTAGTCATTTAAAAAGTTGTATGTATAATTCTTAAGGTACTATATTTTCTAAGTTCAGTCCTTATAATGCATTGCTCATCTTTATTCATTCTGCGGATTTGTTCCTCATCTTTGTTTTTACTAATAGATTGTAAATAGATAATAGTTTATTCTATGGGAAGTCTTGAAAGGACCATTTTTAATTTTCCTGATTTTTTAAATATTATTTTGTACCCGTTTAGAATAGCTTTCATGAATTTTTCCCAATTTTCTTTTTCAACCCCTCAAGAAGTTTAATAAGCATTGGAATATTTTAGGTAAAAAATGTTCAAAAAAACTAAGATATAAACTTTTTTCCATTTTGATCATTTTGAGGTGGTTTTATAAAAAAATATATAAAAATAATAATTTTTGTATTTTATATTTTTTATTTTTAAACCAAAAAAGTGCTTTTAAAAAAAGAGTAGCGTTTTTTTCTTTGGAAAAATTCTGAAAACAATCGTTTTTCAATATGCCAATTTGTGAAACAGATTCTAGAGTCGGATATTCACATTATTTTTTTTCGAATTACATTTTTTTATGTATTTTAATTCTTCACAGATAATATACGCTATTAAATCAGATTTTATTATAGAAGTGAATCGCAATTACTGATTACTAAAAATATATTTTTCAAAGTACTTTCATATTGTCACTACTAAATATCTAAATCTATCAATCAGATGTCTGCAATTTACCAATTGAGTTTATAAAATTTGTTGAAGAATAAATTGGAATTTAATCATTTATAATTTTGAAAAGTTAACCAATTAATATTAAAACTTTTCTGAAATAATTTCTTTGAAAACTTGCTACTTTATTACATATAACTTATTTATATCAAATTTAACTGCCTACATTTAGTCGAACTTTTGCTAACTTCTGACATAACGAGATTCTAGATGTTTGATCATAAAATTTAGAGACATGACGTGGTTACATAAATTTTATACAAGGATGTTTCGACAGATACTAGAGGATGAACTAGGTATCTGTAATATATATATATTTCATAACGTCCTTAGAATAAATAAATTTACATACACTGTAAAAACAATTGATTGAAATTTCACTCACATTGCACTCGACTGCTTTTCACACGGGAGTGAGTGAAATTTTCACTCTGTTAATACGAGTAAAACAGTTATTTTATGAGTGAAACTAGTAAAGCAGAAGTAATGAATTTTATTCAGTCGAGTCTAATATGATTCAAATTTAACTATTACTGAATTAACTTTTGTTCAGGTTTGATTATAGTGAAATTAGTTAGATGCAGTACACTGTAAATAAATCGATGTGATTGAAAGCAATAAAGGTCCGGAGTGAAATTATTGAGTACGTTTTCACTCAATATTGAGCATTTTTATAATTTTACTCATTTTTGATAATACCTATTTGAACTAAAACTGATTACTTTCACTCATATATAGGTACCCAATAAATAAATTCTCCATACTTCTAAATCAGAGTAAATGTCCCCATTCTTTAACACCTACTACACTTCTTCTAGAGCACGACTGTATGGCGTATGCAGTTGCAGTTTCGCTCATAAAATTTTAGTTGTACTCATATTAATAGAGTGAAACTTTCACTCAATCGGGTGTGGACAAAAATGAAGTGAAATTGTGTGAAATTAAGTCCAATTTTTTACTTACCTAAACATAATTTTCAGAATTTATTGAAATTCTTCGCCTGCTATTAACAAATTCCAAGACATTGTTTAAATAGATTTTAACACATTCGGATATTATTGTAAAATAACAAAGTTTCTTGAAATAGGTGCTTAAAGGAAAAGCGATTAAATAAACAAAAAGTAAACTCGAATTAAAAAAAAAATAACACAAAGTAACTGTAAAAAGTAACTTTTTCAAAATATAAACTGATCGGTAGAATAATATTTCCAATTAATTCAGTTAACCGAATCTTAATCAGAACGCAAAATACAGAGCTTTACTTAATACTCACTGTATGTGCGTATACCAATGGTCAATAGTAAGTGAAAATATTCTCAATAATTTAACTCGGTGGATTAATTCTTTTGCTTAGTATTTTTAAGGGGTTCACTCACCCAATTATTTACAATGTAATTAAATATAATCATCAATATTGATTCTGAATTCTGATAAATTCGAAACTCTCAAGATCTTATATTGATATCTAAGATACAAATCTGATTTAATGTAACTCGTAGGTAAATAAATTAGTTTTAGTAAATAATAAGAACTATCAAAGACTGTTGGAATCAATCTATATAGTTAGAAAAATAATAAGCTCTTTAGAAATGCTTTCTCAAATTTTTAGTAGATAGAAACTGAACAACGAAACGCATACAAAAAAACAACCAAATACAATGTAAAAAAAATCGCTTAAATTTCACTCAATTTTACTCAATAATGTATCAATTTCTGTCGACACCCGATTGACTGAAATTTTTAATCTATTAGTATGAGTGAAACTATTGCATCAAAAATGAGTGAGTTTTACTCAAATCCGAGTTACTGCTAACTATCAATTAAGTGACTTTTGACACTATTCTGTATAAGACCACTATTCTTTATAAGCCCAATGACTTTT